GAAGCCTAAGATACCATTGGCCCTTTCGTTGATGTCAGAAGACACAAAAAATCAAAAACAACATGTGGATCCAGTGGGAACATCCAAGTAGCTTTAAAAAGAAACACGGTAATTTGTTGGCAAGAGGCTTTAATAAAAGAAAAGTCTGATAAATAAGACCGCTTTTTCTGTAATTTTTTAGCATTTATCAATGAGCTGAATGTATTAAAGATCCTTGTATTGGAAAAGATTCAATCATGCACAGTGGGTTTGCATTTGCTAGGCTCTATGTGGATTTAGGCTATAACGTTAATAATTACCTCCCCCCCCCACCGTTTCAACCTCCAAATAGAGGAGAAAATGTGGATGTAATATTTTACAATGTTGAGAAAAAAAATGATAATTGATACATGTTTTATTATGTTTTTAGCCACTTTCACAAATTTTGTGTGTGTAAATCAGATTGTGAAAATACACATATGAAATAACGAAACCGGATATCGTTGCTTAAAATGCTCTCAACCAATCAAAGTTGTACATTTCTTTTTATTCCTATTGAAAATGAACTATTGGTTTGAAGAAAAAAATGGTGGTCTATTTCTCCTGGTGACCCATTTTCTCACTATACCTGCCCTAATTAGCTCAGCGCAGAATGCTAACAACAAACAGAGTTTGAAGTGATTCGAAAACACAATTCTTCTTCTTTTTAAAAAGAATTATAACAGGATTCTCATCAAGTGCGTTACTAGGATGAACGGTTTGTCAAGCAAGTTTAATGACATTGACGCTGACATTGTTAGAGGGGGTTATTTCTGGAAGATATATATAACGGCTGAGCAGCTCATACATTCATTCGCTCCTAACTGATCTACTTTAAGTTTCAGTTCACACGATCAAATTGCTTTCAGATTAACTCCAAATATGTGCACAATTTTTTATGAATGCACTACTTTGTGCATGGTTTCTTTCATTTTTCTTTTTTTTTTTTTTTTTGACTAAATTCAGAATTTTATCAAATAATAATTTGAAATTTTTTACAAGGCTTCATACCAAAATTGCATCAAATGTTAGAAAGAAAATTTGAAAAAAAAATATTTTTTTCTTTTTTTTTTTTTTTTTTTTTTTTGACTAAATTCAGAATTTGATCAAATAATAATTTGAAATTTTTCACAAGGCTTCATACCAAAATTGCATCAAATGTATGAAAGAAAATTTGAAAAAAAAATGATCGTGAGAAACGAGCGTAAAGCTTTTTCGCAGTCCAACACTCTGATACATTCATTCTCCCCTTGCTTACTCTAAGGAGAAACAAAAAGTTAACTCAAATGACACCCACGTTTGCCAATTGATTGAGGACATGGATGCGTTTTCATACCGGATCCTGGGTTGCTCGACGCTTGCAGGTACCGGACAAGTAAACCAAGAGAAATGAATTGTGGAAAACGTGTGACCTTGGTTTACGAGCATTGAGATTTTTATAGTTTAGTCTCCGACGAAAGTCACCATTCACTTACAGGTAGGTCAGGAAGATCTAATATTGTTATTTTTAACGCCTACTGCATGTACCACACTTTTTTTTTCAACCCTCTTTCCATGTCTTATAACTAAAGGGCGTTGACAAGGGTATGATCGATTTTTAAAAATGATACCATTACCTTTTAAAAGAAACAGATGGTGATTCACACATTAAAACTGGAATATGGTCCCTTCTTTAAATGTAAGGAAATAAATCTTACTGATAGACTAAAATATTGTATATGTATAGTTTATTTCGTTGGGAAAACGACTATGTCAATTTTTGTTTTAGAGAAAACTATTTTCTCAAAACCTCATAAGCGTGATCATTTGTAAATTGATAATTATTTATAATGAAAAATACATATTTTTCACCCTCCCACCCCCCCGCCCCGAAAAATAAAATAAAATTCAAGACGCGTATAATTAGTATTTCATTTCCTGTTTTTACAGCTAAGATAATTAGGGATAAATGTCTTAATTTCTTTCCCTCAGCAAAATTTCCTGTTTTTACAGCTAAAATAATTAAGGAAAAATGTCTTAATTTCTTTCCCCCAGCAAAAAAAAAAAAAAAACAAAGACCAAAAAAAAAAAAAAAAACCTTTTTCCAGGTCCTTAAAAAAAGTGTTCATTTTTTTTTAAAAACTGAAAAATACTGATATAATCCTGACATATACCATCTGACATGCCAACAAACATCTCTTTACCTGATGACGAAAACAGATATTAAAATCATTATGTAGTTTTTATCCACATTTTCATGCAGATACTACAATTTCGTCATCCCACGCTAATTAATTTATTGTTGGATTTACCTTTAAAATATTTTTTTATACATACATAAACAAAAATCACTTATCTTGGTCTATACGCCCTTAGCTGTAGCTAATTTAGCTATAGGTAAATCCAGTAGTCGTGTAATCGTGTATAATAATACTCACATGGATCTACTTACTTGATTATTTAAAAACAATATAAAAGTCCAACTGTAATGGCTATACGCTTTTTTGCGATGTAGGAAACTAAGCACAGTTCCTTATGGGCCTTTGATGTGTTGGTAACAGATAGTGGCTAGAATACGATAGGAAGAATCGATGTATTTCTAAGAATTTTTTTATAGATAAGAGAAACCCCGGTGGACAGTTTCGTTTCTTAATGTGATTATAGAAGGAAGAATAAATCTTCTAACGAATTTCCGCGATTACCTGGCACTTGGTTCTTGTCTCTACAATACCGTCTAAACTGGAACTGCGCATGCGCACAAATATTTTTTAACATCTGGTTTATTGTTGTACTTTTTTTTTTTTACTTTAAATTTAAAAAAAAATAATTTTCTAATAATTTTTTTTTTTTTTTAAAAATAAGAAGAGTAACTTTCAAATTAAATTTTATTTTATACATTTTTTAATTATTTGAAAATAAGCTTAAAAATATTCACGGCACGATTTTTAAAGATCAATATCACTTTGACAAATGCATGTAAAAAAAATAAAAACACTTCAAAGTGAATACATACAAATAAAAACACAAGCTTTGCTTTTTATTGTTATTTCTCCATATTAATGTACACATAAACTAATCGTGATATTTGAACGTTTATGTGGATGCATTAAATTCGCACATACACTTATGTCGTTAGTATTTTAAAAAAAATACATTGCTAGAGTTTTATTTCAAGTTTTCAATTTCATTTTATTTAAAACTAAGATTATGTTCATGGCTTTGGAAATAGATGCTTTTGTTTACGTTGCCCTAAATTTAATACAAGTTAAAAAAATCTGACTTAAGTTGTTGGTTAGTTGCCTACACTTGTGCTTTGTCAGTTGTCTACATACATGCTGGGAAAATCGAGTCGCATGTCAACATTCTTCTGTCAATGATCTTACTATCAAGAACGAAGCACTTAAGACAAAAAACCAACAAAAAGAACACAAAAACTGTAAAATAAAAGCAGACAAAAGCTTCTTAAACTTCAACGAGTGACGTCGACCTAGTTTCGTCTAGTTTTTCAGAGGCAACCATAGTTAAATTCTAACAATCGCACAGCGAAAGATCGAATCTATTCATTTTCTTAAAATTTTCAGTAGCATTTTTTGGAGAAAAAAAAACGAGCCATTTTTAAAACTGCCATGTAGAAGAACTACTTAAATAATTTCAGTAAATCTAACGAAACAGAAATTTGATATAATCTCAAAAAAAAATAATTCAAAAACCAAGATGACGTGACATCAACCGCTATTGACATATCAACACAAAGTACAAAATGTCTTCAAGTTTCTACTAAACAATAGATAAACCTATTTACTAAAGAACGTCACACAATTACAGTTAGTTGAGTCTTCTTACATCGAGTAATTGAAAATCGAGTTATGGCTTTTCACAAGTCAACAAGATGCAGAATAATGTTTTTATATGACATTGTTTTTACACCTTGCAACGTCCTTATGTCTTGACCGAGACTGTGACTCTCCACTGTGAAGACCATGAGTCCCAAGTGCGGAGACCGTGACTCTCCAGTGTGAAGACTGTGAGTCCCATGTGTGGAGATCGTGACTCTCCAGTGCGGAGACCGTGACTCCACAGTGGGGAGACCGTGAATCTCCAGTGCGGAGACCGTGACTTCCCAGTGTGGAGACCGTGACTCTCCAGTGCGGAGATCTTGACTCAAAGTGTGGAGACCGTGGCTCTGCAGTGTTGAGACCGTGACTCCCTAGTGCGGAGACCGTGATTCTCCAATGCGGAGACCGTGGCGCTCCAATGTGGAGACAGTGGCTCTCCATTGTTGTGGCCGTAGCTCCCCAGTGCGGTGACCGTGGATCCTATTGATGAGACAGTGACTCCCCAGTTTGATGACCGTGGCTCCCTATTCACGAGACTGTGACTCCCCAGTGTGGAAACTGTGACTCTCCAGTCTGGCGACCGTGGCTCCCTATTGATGAGACTGTGACTCCCCAGTGGGGCGAGGCGCATAATTTGTGAGCGTCTGGCTGATACACATAAAATTACCACAATGTTTGAGCAAATGAACACATTTTTTACAAATTTTATTGTCAAACATGGAGTAATAAAGTATTATCTTTAGACCCAAAAATAGGAATGGGCAGCTACCCCACATCTTCCCCCGGCACACTAAACCGTAAACTATATGTAATGTCTTAAATAAAATTGTCGGTTGTTTAAAAATAAATGTAACGAGGCAAGCATTTCGGTCAACCTGTTTGCGAATGTGATGTAAGAATTCCATAGATCAGCAAAAAGAACTGACAATCTTGTCAGAATTGTTAGAGGGTGGCTGACGAATTGATCAGAGAAACAATGTAGACGACACATATTTTTACATAAGTATTCAATCTAGTCAATATAGAAGTCATTCATTTTCTGTTCCTAGATTTTTTTTAACATGGGATACCTAGACAAATAAATATGATGAGGAATAAATTTAAATGCAGACAGACTAATATATACATATTAATATATATCCAAAAACTAAAACTCTTATGTTAATTTCAACTGATGTTTGCAGTATTGTTCTTCATTTTAGTTTTCCTTTCATTGTAAGCTTGTAGCACTAGATACAGCGATCTGTATTGTTCCTGCGTTTGTAAGAGAGAAACATTTATGCAAACGATCATATTTAGATATCTTAACAAATTTAGGATTCATTGTATTATTTTTATTCTGTATTAATAGTATGTAACGAAGTTGCTATTCGCACCCGGGTATCAGAAATGAGAGGTTGGGATTAAATTTTTTTTTAAAAATATTCTTGTTGTGTCTGTAAGGCAAAATGAGGTATCAAATGCAAGATAATTTAATGGTGTATATGTTTGTAATCTTACTTCTTCCGTTTAACTAAAATAAAGAACAACAAAGAATATCCGAATTGGATTTAGTCTAAAGGGACCCGGGTCCGATGGCGGCTATGCTTACCCGGGTCCTTTAGACTAAATCACATTCGCATGTCATTTGAGGTAGTTTATTTTAGTTAAAATAAAGAATTAAGTTTACAAACATATCGTCCTTTCAATTATCTTTCATTTGATACCTCATTTTGTCTTACAAACCCAACAGTAATATTTTAAATAATAATTTAATCCCAACCTCTCACTTCTGGTACCCGGGTGCAAATAGTTGCAGCCATTATGTAATTAACTAAGGTAAATTGCAGAAAGATTTAAATAAATTCAGTTGATATTAATTCCGTGTAAGAATATTCAAAAATGTTGCAACCATAATATTTAATTGTCGTAAACATATAAATAAGAAATATTACCAGAGTTGGGATGACCTCTGGCCGGATGGACTTCACAGCCCCAACAACAAGTGGCACTGTCAGACACAGGTCATTGTCCATTCTGTCTAGAAGCAATGTCAGCACGCAAGCATGTCCACTATACGTGTAGCCATCTCTGAAAGATTACACGAGTAAAACAAGCATTTTAAAATACACATAAACATCAAACTGTGAAGTCGTATAAAAAGCTGCAACGGGTGGGTGTGTTTTAAAACATATTTAAACAAAAAAATGAATCCTATTTGTAAAGACTGACTTTATTCGTATTATAGCACTCTAACAACGTTTACACATAATTACAAATCTGGAGTCCTATATTTTAGAACTAGTACATGTATTTGTTTTACTTTTTAACTTCACTGTTTAATTTTTCCATATTCAGATATTTTTAAGCTATATCTCTTATTTATAAAACATAATTTAAAAAATACGTTTTGCTTTAATTTAAAATTCGAATAATTATTTATTTATTACAAAACGTTCAGAATGAAAATTAGAAAAGCACAACAGTAAGTGAATGTCATAAGTTTTTTTAAAATGAAAAAAAAAAATGTCTCCGTTACAGTTTGAGTACCTGCACATAAAGATAACACGTCCGTCTTTCGAGGCAGTGGATCTCACGTTATTTATAACGTCCAGAATGTGTTTGGGGCACGTCACGTCGTATAGGACATGCTTGACGACATGGCAGGACACATCCTGATCAATATATTGACAAGTTATTTCATCAGTCAATATCATGGAATTATGGAAACTAAGATTACTTGAAGAAATCAGAAGCAATGCGTTAGACAGAACAAGTAAATCGTAACCTAAACAACATGTTCATTACAAATTCCTACTTTCCGAACATTCTAATTTGATTTAAGGCACAATAAATATTTAAAAATTGCAGCGACTTTTGATACGGAAGGTATGTGCACGGAAGAGAGCAGGCAGGGGCGTAGGAAACATTACGAGGGAGGGCCTTAATTATTACAATAAAGATTGAGGCGATTGTGGCTAACTTTATATTTGATTTACGGCAAGGTGGCGGCAAAAATTCTGGCCACTGAAATCAGAGCATATGAGACGGTTATATATGAGGATCAATGGGTTGATAAATTTAATGTCTCTCTCTCTCTCTCTCTCTCTCTCTTTCTATCTCTCTCTCTCTATCTCTCTCTCTCTCTCTCTCTCTCTATCTATATATATATTTATATATATATATATATATATATATATATAAATAAATATATTATATATATATATATATATATATATATATTTATATATATATATATATATATATATATATAAATATATATATTATATATATATATATATATATATATATATATGACATTTATCCTGTAAATAAAGTAGTTAATATTTATATTTGAATATAATATGGAAAGGTTATTACATGGTGTAACAGAATAAATCTACTTCCTTGATGTATTGACATAATTGCGTCTTCCCTAATAGGCAAGCATACCGAGTTTTATTAACTTACTTCGGTTACTTGGGATTCTGAACATTGTTTCCGTTTTAAAATAAGATAGTGTTCCTCCCACTGCTCGAATCTGTTCACTACTTTAGACTCTATCATAAATGGAAAACATTCAAGTGTTTCCCCTTGGCCGGATGGCTGATAGCATCTTGTTGCCTGTAAAATTATGTAGTGGAAAAATAGTTTATTAGGTCCGGTAGAACTGTTGCGAATATCCAGTTTTCCTTAACGTAATTCATTATTTCCTGTTAAATGACTCTCCTATTCTAGCGCCCAACTGTAATTGTTTAATGTAAGTGCTTACTTTATTTATAGTTGAAAACTTTTGTCATGAATGTGTAATAAACTTCCTCAATTAGTACACACATACACTAAGCATTTTTTATATTTACGTTTATAAATCATCGCCTGATAAGATTCATTCCCTGACATAATTCAATGTGATTCTGTAGGGGAGCATATTCAAAATCAAATAATGATAGCAAACATTCAACATTTGAAATGACAGCCAAAACTCAACATTGGTACTTATTGCACGTATTATTCATTGGCGCTGATAGCACACACACACAACATATGTGTTGGTAGCACACATAAGTCATCTGTACTGATAGCACACATAAATCGTCTGTACTGATAGCACTCATAAGTCATCTGTATTGATAGCACACTTAAGTCATCTGTACTGATAGCACTCATAAATCATCTGTATTGATAGCACACATAAGTCATCTTTACTGATAGCACAATTAAAGTATCTGTATTGATAGTACAAATAAGTCATCTGTACTGATAGCACAATTAAAGTATCTGTATTGATAGCACAAATAAGTCATCTGTACTGATAGCACACTTAAGTCATCTGTACTGATAGCACAATTAAAGTATCTGTATTGATAGCACAAATAAGTCATCTGTACTGATAGCACTCATAAATCATCTGTACTGATAGCACACATAAGTCATCTTTACTGATAGCACAATTAAAGTATCTGTATTGATAGCACACATAAACTCTTTACTATTAGCGCACACACAACATCTGTAATTGTAATTAGCACACACACACAACATATGTGTTGGTAGCACACATAAGTCATCTGTACTGATAGCACACATAAATCGTCTGTACTGATAGCACTCATAAGTCATCTGTATTGATAGCACACTTAAGTCATCTGTACTGATAGCACTCATAAATCATCTGTACTGATAGCACACATAAGTCATCTTTACTGATAGCACAATTAAAGTATCTGTATTGATAGCACACATAAACTCTTTACTATTAGCGCACACACAACATCTGTAATTGTAGCACACACACATCATTGGTTCAGATAGCACACATACAACATCTGTAATTGTAGCACACATACAACATTGGTTCAGATAGCACACATACAACATCTGCAATTGTAGCACACATACAACATTGGTTCAGATAGCACACATACAACATCTGTAATTGTAGCACACATACAACATTGGTTCAGATAGCACACAAATAACAACTGTAATTGTAGCACACATACAACATTGGCTCAGATAGCACACACACAACATCTGTAATTGTAGCACACATACAACATTGGTTCAGATAGCACACACACAGCATCTGTAATTGTAGCACACTTACAACATTGGTTCAGATAGCACACTCACAACATCTGTAATTGTAGCACACATACAACATTGGTTCAGATATCACACAAACAACATCTGTGCTGATAGCACACATACAAAATCTGTAATTTTACCACACATTCAGCATCTGTGCTGATAGCACAGATAGAACGTTGGTTCTCATTGCACGCCTTCAACATTGGTTCTGATAGGACACATACATCATCTGCACTGATGACACACAATCAACATTGGTTATGATAGGACACATACATCATCTGCACTGATGACACACAATCAACATTGGTTATGATAGGACACATACATCATCTGCACTGATGACACACAATCAACATTGGTTATGATAGGACACATACATCATCTGCATTGATGACACACAATCAACATTGGTTATGATAGGACACATACATCATCTGCACTGATGACACACAATCAACATTGGTTATGATAGGACAAATACATCATCTGCACTGATGACACACAATCAACATTGGTAATGATAGGACACATACATCATCTGCACTGATGACACACAATCAACATTGGTTATGATAGGACACATACATCATCTGCACTGATGACACACAATCAACATTGGTAATGATAGGACACATACATCATCTGCACTGATGACACACAATCAACATTGGTTATGATAGGACACATACATCATCTGCACTGATGACACACAATCAACTTTGTAAAAAAAAAACACTGTATTTCCGCTATAGTTCATTTTTTTCTAAATTCAGCCCACGAAATAATAAACACTCATTAGCGTGTGTTTTAAACAAAATTGTATAATTACGTCATCACGTCCACCCTCATCTTGGCTTTCAAAAGATATGATTGTGGTTACATTACATTTCTGGACATCAGCCCAAAACCCAGCAACACTGCCAGACAACGGGGTCTGTGTTAGGATGTACTGGTCATGATGTGTCAAACTCTGTGGGGAAAGGTTTTTATTCGTTTATTCGTGCTTGGGACAGTTTAACACTAATTCCTTTTGTAAAGCATTGCTATAGTTCTTATATAGGATTTTAGTTTATGGATTTATTTCATTCGAGCATTTTAAATAATAAAAAATGTATATTGCAAATGTTCTCTTATGAAACACCAAGACACTCACACTTATGTTTTAGCACATTGATATATATATATATATATAATTTATCTTCACATATGCTTCCTATGCAGTGAAGTCATTAGGTTTGTTTACAAGCAAAAGAAAGTGAAATCATGGGATAAACTCACAGGGACAAAGTAACCATTTTGAAATGTGAGGTGTGTCAGGTGTCCTCCGCAGCTCTCACCTGTGTGTAGAATATAAACACTATTACTTGTATAAACATAACTTATAAACCTTTTAAGTAAATTGATTGTTGATACTTATTTTTAACAAAAAGAAACACTGCCTTATCAAGTTCCGTGTAGACTTCCTAAAAATAGTTAAATAAATATGGTGGTGTTCCGTATAGACTAAATATACACGTTTATTTAAAGATGGTAATGTTCCGTATAGACTAGGTACATACGTTGATTTAAAGATGGTAGTGGTCCGTATATCTCATTGTCATTTGGATCACTATCCAACACGACATCTCTATCTGAATGGAGGACGTTGTCCTTTTCTTTAACATCCTCGCTCATTGTACTTAGTGCCTGGACGAAATAATGATATAGCTTAATAAATACATTGGGCTTAGCTGCTAATAAGAAAAGATCAGATGAGATTTTTTTATTGATCCAAATAGAGGGAGATATTGTTCTCTTACATTTACATTGCACATGTTCATTTTAAGCACATACATAGATACAAATATCAAAGAAGACAACATTTTTCAATTATAACAATTTAAACTTAAGACATTTAAAGTATTTCTCTCGCGTACAGGTCAGCCATAAATGAACTCCTTTAGTGAAAATAATGACTTATTTTGTCATCATTTAAATTTGGGAACCGCTGGGGAACATGTTAGTAAATTCGTACATACTGGGAGGGGGGAGGGGCAACAGATATATTGTTCTGTCCTAACTTTAAGAGATGAATTTGCTCTGAAGGTGCTGACATTCGGATGCATTCCGCCCTCTTCATCACAGATTCCGAATGTCAGCACCTTCAGAGCAAATTCCATCTCTTAAAGTTAGGACAGAAAATATATCGCTGTTTGATGCCAGACGATGAATTTCCACACCAGCATGTGGTTCTAAAGTTTAGGGCAGTCATGTACGTCCTTTGAATTTTAAACTATAATTTATGCAGTTAATCAACACATACTTACATTGGACTCGCCTTATCGCAACACATCACAATGTTTCATACGTTCGCGAATCAAAGACAATATGAACAGTCAACGTTAGACATTATGAACGTTTATTAATTATTAAGCAAACACATCTTCGATAAACAACATCAGTAATACGTGTTAGCTACAGACTACACAAAAGCTTTAAGAATTCTTTTAAGCCATTTGACTACAACAAGGCTAATGTAATGCTTGTGAATTGCACTGTTTTATTAGGTAAACATTCCCCTTCGTGGATGTATATTATTAATTGAAAAAAATAAGAAATCAGGAAATAAACAAACAGTTAGTTGTATATCTTTTCTTCCGTTATGGTATGGTGGTATTTCCGTTTTTTTTTAAATATTTTAAAAAATTTTGTTTAAATAGAAAATTGATTACTGAAAAGAAAAAAGTCACAATTTACAAGAAAACTCCTGACCATGAATTCCTCCTCCATAAATGTCACTCCAGTAAGAGAGGTTCTGTTGAGGGATTTGATGCTCTCGTCGATGTCTCGGGCAATGAACGATGTCCCCGTGCAAACCATTGCTATGAGCACAGCCCGGTGAAGGAACTCATACTGTTTCTATAATATAGACAATTATTCATGACATTCAAAATATAAACTAGCATTTATTATGCGTTATCGCTAAATAGTATGCACAGATATGCTTCAAATCATTCTACAACTAAGTTCTGCATATGGTGGTCGTGGATGATCAGTTCCTTTTCTTGCACATTCTACCACAGTGTTTTACATGTAGCAGACATGGATGATCAGTTCCAATTCATGCACATCTTACCACACAGCTCTACATGCGGCCTAATCAGGTGCAGTTCACAGATTACATTTTTTTTGTCTATGGATGCGTGGAAAATTGGAAATTGATTAATGACTATCGAATCTTAACTCAATTATTTAATGTTTTTAATGACAAAAACGGCCCTAAAAAAAAAGAAAGAAAAAAATAAGAACTTTCTTTCGAATTTTACAAAGTCTTTGTTTATAGTTTGAGTACGTTCTAACAAGCTGACTGCGCAATAAAGAAAGAATAGAGTAATAGTTAAGAAAGATGAACACCAAAAGTGTGTATCGGGAGCCTTCTGCGCCCTTCATTTCCAAACCTCCTCGCATGTTACCATCAAAGGGGGATTACCCATTTATTGAAGGAAGAACTTCATACATAATTTTAAAATATTTATATACTTATATCATATTGTATTTTTTTTTAAATTAAATGGAAGATGGTTAAAGCTACAGACTTCGCCTCGCGAGCAGCTTTCCATTACAGTCAGCCCTCATGTTACTTACAGCTGTTTGTATCATCATCATTCTATCGTGTCGCAGCTTTGCCGCAGTTTGAAAGAAATCAATACTGCCCGTGCCTTCTGCCTCTCTCACGACATTCCGCAAGGCAATGAATGTTCCAGTGCGACCTACACCAGCGCTAGGTAAAGTAAACAAACAAAAATATTTTAGTCCTAATGCCTTTAACAAACATAATATGTTGCCCACTGCCAGTCTATGAGTTAACGAATAACCGGAAACGGAATTTAGGAATTTCCTTTTTTTTATGTAAAAAAAAGTTTTTTGAAAGATATCCTTACACTGATTCACTGACTTCATAGACACAAAAGACATATATAATGGTATGTCCAAAAATATTAATCAATTTTCTGATGCTTTTATCTGATATTAATAAAATACAATATTATTTTTAAATGTTTTTTTTTTTAAATTATTGATTTTTACAACGATCCCCCCCTCCCCATATATGTTTGAGACGCAGAAATGACCCAATTTCAAGAAATTGATAATAGCGTGTTTGTTAGTTAAATGGATCTAGATTGTATTCTGTCAACTGATGTCATTTACACTTGGAGTTATGTCTCACCTGCAGTGTACGACGATGGCCTGTGATGTTGGTTCTGAAAAGACTATGTCATGAAAATCTACCAACCCCCAAGGGGTCAAGGGCACTCCTCTATCTGGCCACGATGTGAAGTGGTAGTGCGTTAAATATTGGATGGGTTGATTTTTCTTCAAATAAAATAACAGTTACCGTTGTTATGTAGCAGGTTGTGAATAATATCTTAAAGGTTCGAAAATAATTGGGTATATTTTTCTAGAAACGAACACTGTTACACAAATTAGGAAAATGCTTTCACAAATTTTAATAAAATAGTAGAACAAGGTATGTGAACGCTTGAATCAAAAGACAGACCAATAAGATGTGAACGTTTCGGCGAAGGGTCTTTTTTCAGCAAACAGGACAATTGAAAATAAGACAAGAAACTTTTTTTACTGTTTTATTTATGTTTGTCCTGTCCGCTAAAGAAGGCTTTTGGCCGAAACGTTCACATCTTACTGTCATGTCTTTTGATTCAAGCTTCCACATAGTTTGCTCTACCATTTCATTTAAACAGCTTTAACCTAGTCCTTCATTTATTAACACATTTTACACACTCATGAATTGGAGGATTTAAAAAAAATCCTATTTTATGAAATGGAGATACATTAACTACCGTGTAAGGAGCTTACTTTAGTGAGTTCAAGGTTGCGTATCGTGTAGTCAGCGAATATTTGGATGGCCCTTAATCTCATGATGATCTCACCAAACGCTTCCACACCCTCATCTGGCCAGTAGCAGTCACATTTTATCTAAGACAAAGTATCAATAAGAAAAAAATAAATTCAAGATAAACAATCAATATTTTTAAAACAAAATATACAAATCAGATTCTAGTTAGTAACGAAGTCTTATTTCGAGTTTACCTCTTATTTACAGTATAAAACCAAATTTCGTTTCAATTTACAACTAACTATTAGCCATTGTGAAAATGTTAATACACATATAATATAGATGCTAAGCATTAGGGCATTCGTTCGAGAATCAGAGAAAGTAAATGCTTAGTCTGATACTGACTATGAGAAATATAAGAATTTTAAGTCTTATCTTAATGAAGTATGTAAATTATTTTAAAGCATATTGACATGCGTAGGACTTGACTTATTCATATTTTATTTAGCCTAAACTTGAAAAGGAGACGACAACACTTTGATGATATTGCGCCAAAGTAGGATTCTAACCCGATCATAAGTCTACCAAACATTTAAAAAAAAAAAAGTTAAATTGTTTATTTTGTTGGTGATTGGAGTACCATTGCTCATTGGTCTGCATGCCATAGTTGACACACGCTCTTTAGACAGCTGCGTGTCAGATTTGACACACGCGCTTTAGGCTGCTAACTGCTGGACCAACCATTGAGAATACATGCGTCTTTAAGACTACTTGGTTAAAAGTTTATTATTTACCCTACTGTCTTCAATTAATTTTGTTAACATCACGACTTTCTCTACTCTTTGTTCCCACAGCATGCGCACAAAGTCATTGACCAGCTCAGTTGGAGGACCTAATCGATGAAAGAAAAGTTTGTATAATATTGACACTTTTATTCTCATCAAGTATTATGTCTCTTAAAATTTTAAACGTACTGTTGAAATGCATGTGTTTTTAAAGTGCAATTTTAAAAGTTTTCTATTTTTAAAACTAATTCTCGAATTATGTTAAAACAAAGTTTATTCAATTTTAAAATGTTAAAAATCTTTGCACTGCAAAATAAATTTTGAAAGTAGAATATCAAGTGCTGAAAAAAATCCTACAAAGTCTCCAGATTTCGAAATTTTTAAACGAGATCAATAAAACGGTACGACTAACATATTTTTGCACAACACTAGCAGGTCAGAATACAAAAATCGTTGTCTGCATACAAAATGTGTTCATAGGAGTGTGTTGACATCCAGCTTTCTACAAATTACAACTAAGCTCTGTCCAAATGAGTGTTTTTTACATGTGCAAATTCTTGAAAATTTAGGAGTAGAGTTTTGTAAATTAAGATTTGTCATGAGCGTTTCATCACATACTGTTTAGAAAAATGGTGTCCGAAGAAATAGACAGAAATACATGCACTTATTTTCCCTGTATTTATTTTCTAATTTCTTATATTTTACATAATTCAAAAATATTATTTCCATTAAAATCTATCTTGTTTTTCACAGTAAGAGTCCATACATTATTTTACATCCTGTAATCTTTGTCTTGGAAGACCAAACTTCGGGCACAAAGATTAATGGCAAACACTTAAGGTTTTAAACTACTTTCTATTTCTTTTTTTTATTTCTTCATGTGTCCTGTCTGCCAAAAGGAGGATCATAGCCGAAAAGTTCTTCTTTTAATGTCATGTCTTTATATTTTAAGTTTCCTCATAATCGGTTCTACTACTTCATGGATATTTACCTTGTGATGCAATAAATACTTGCTCGTATTGGTAGCCCTGACGGATAAAGACACGGCTTAAATATACATAACAAAATCTAATTACGATATAATGTATATCAACCGAAATATAAACTAACATTAAGATAATTAGCATCCTTTCTTTGCATTGACCATAATGATTTGATGTTCTTACAACTTCAATTCCTTGGTTAAAGTTTTAAAAAAAATTTATGCCACTAAAATGTCTGTATGCTTGCATAAAATTACCAAAGTGTAAGTATTAAATATAAATCAATGTGTATTAATTAATGTCAATGACCTACCTTTATATACGATGCATTGATGTAACCAGATTCATTTTCTGCGTTTGGGACAAGTCTAACTCTTGAATGATCGTCTGCCATGTACATAAACACAAATTAATAACAATGACTGTAATCTTTTAGAAATGTATAGTTAAATCTACATATTTATATAGACATGTAAAATAATTTAGCTTATTCTGTATGCGGCAACATAAGCAGCACTTAAACTCCTGCATCTTGAACGCGCGCTTGCGTTGTCAACAATGCAGAGCTGTCGATGACAAAGGACCACATAAGTGAAAAGGGATAATATGTGAAGCCGTCGTTGATTGAAAATTAGTATAATCTAAGCAATGTCGTTACTGATACTTCAATGCAGTTCTCCGTGAAATGTTTTCACTCTCGACATACCTATGATCTTCCAAATATTTCTTGGCACTACAACAATAACAAGATTAGCAGATTTTGGAAACTTGAGCTTATGAGGTGAAACTTGATATGCTTCGTATTTAAATCAATTAATGGTAAAGAAACCAGAGATTTACATTGTTTTTACCAAGCGTGTTGGACTTCAGTGAGGTTAAATGGTTGAGTCCTCCGCCAATTATCAATTTTATATAAAAATGAATTTAAAGCTAAAGTAGCTGTGTAGAAGTGAAAGTAGCTATGTAGATGTGAAAGTAGCTGTGTAGAAGCGAAAGTAGCTATGTTAAAGAGAAAGTATATATGCAGAAGTGAAAGTAGATATGCTGAAGTGAAAAAAGCTATGCAGAAGTGAAAGCAGCTGTGTAGAAATAAAAGTAGCTATTTCTATAGTGAAATTAGCTATGAAGAACTGAACGAAGCTATGCAGAAAAGAATGTCGCTTAGTAGAAGTGAATATAATTATGTATGAGGGAAAGAAGCTATGCAGAAGGGAAAAAAGCAATGACGAATAAGGTTATGTATGTAGAAGTGAAAGTAGATATGTAGACATTAAAGTAGCTCTTTAGAACTGAAAGTTTCTATGTAGAATGAATTAATTATATAGAAGTCAAAGTTGTCATGTAGAAGTGAAAGCAGCAATGTAGAGTGTAATTAGATATATGAGTCGAAGAAGCTTGGTAGAAGTGTATGCTGCTACCAAAACATTTTAACGGAACACATTATTTTGGCTTTTATTATCAAACTATATGTATCTTGCATCATTTAGGATTGCACTTTTTTTTTAAAATCAATGTTCTCATCTTTTTTTGTCCTAATACCCAGGTTCTGTCATTCGTATGTTTGTGACGATTTTCTTTTAGCAACATTCTAGTTTTGTTTGACGTCGTTTCCGTCATCGGAGCATGGCGGACATCCTTATTCATATTTAGATGTTAAAACATGCATTCATCTATACAATCAAGTCCATCATGTATGTGAGGTAGATCGCACCGTAGTGATACCTTTTGGTGAAGTTCACTAAATGTGAAATAGGGATTTATGCTGAACCCATATTTCCTTTGAAGACTCTATTCATTCCGATGAATTCTTTTGAAGCTATAAATCGTATGATGCTGACAATTCCTTGCTTGAGCACCAAAGATTTGTCCGTTGAACGAAGCACTTCTAGTTTGTAATCTTGATTGTGCCAATTTACATAAGACACACACATATTTTGATGCTTTTAAGTTTATACCGCAAAAACTGAGACAATATATCATAAAATTAAATAAGCTTTGAAGATATCTCAAACATTTTTTGTTAAAAGTACTACACATGTGATCAATGTCATTGTTTTGGAAATAGACTAAGCGTTAAACTCATGTAACATTATTAAGCTCAGCTTTAATGGAATGATTTAAATACAAGCTGGTTTAGTAATTGTTTCAAAAATGTTACTTTTTTTCTCTGACATGCAGACAATTGACCCACATAGTACACTGCTTTTGAAACTTTGATATAAAAATCACTGATAACTTTCTTTAAGAAAACATTGTTTTTTAAAATACATAAACAATGTTTCAAGTTGTAAACAAAAAATGTCCTTGTTAAATATGCTCATATTGAAATTGTGCTATGTCTGAAGATGCTTAACATCTTGTCAACAAAAAAAAAAAAGACATTGTACTATTTTTTTTTTAAAATGTGGGATAAAATTAAAATCTATTTTCTCTTGCTGGGAGTATCAATGCCGCGGCACACCTGCTTTAGTGAACCACGCGGGACACCTGCTCTGATGAACCAGAGGGTGACTGCGATTGGAAATAGATGGAATAACAAGAGTGGTATTAGAAATACTGCCCGAAACATTACAGTGCTGAAAAGCTACTCTGTCAACAGTCAGGAAAAGCTGAGCGATATATAAGAGAACGTGACTTTAGTTTAAAAAACCATTAAATCCTATAGGAATCTAGATCCTCCTACAGCAGACCCTGAAAATTCTCATAAAACGCAACCTTGTCTTGCATATCTGGCGATGTAAAGCTTTTTCCATGTGAAGCCATTTGCAGCAAAATTCGTCTAAAATATCTTTCTTTTCACGACAAAGAACACGTCATGACTTGATCTATGGAACGTTAACAAATGAACGACGCATTCAAGATGCGGGATTTTTCAGCAATGCTACTTGTTGCGCATACCGTTTTTTAAGACCAATGATATGCCTTACATGCACATATGTCTATGTATCTGTTCCTAGGCCTGTTTTCTGCACTTAGTCCAACTGACATCGTTATATCTTTTGGATCTGGTAAGGTCTCAATAGAAGAAAAAGTATATAATAAATTTATTTAAATTTGTAAATATAAGGTTACCCTTTGAATTAATATTATTATTTTTTAAAAAAAAATTTTTTTTTATTTTTAAGTTAAGAATCAATGGGTACTTACTTATTTTTCAAAGAAATTAGAATTTTATAATTAATATGTTGAAACTGTAATGTGAGCAAGTAAGAGTAGTCTATTTAAAACAAAAAAATGTTTTCAGGGTACTACCTCAAATTGCTCTTCAAAAAACTTGCTCGAATGTAACTGTATAAACTTATGTAAGTCTGACACTGTCACTGCTGTTGGTGCAGTGACATCACTTTTAATGCAATCTTCTATTGCGTCTGCTTGGCTTTCATTTCTTTCGGTCTCGTGACTGCCTCCTTGTTCTATGCATAATGCCGACCCTAACCAAAAAAAAAAGGAAATATTTATTTACAAAATCTATAAACATTAATACACAGATTTATCGAAACAGTGTCATAAAAAATGTTAAGCAACAGATTAAAATGCTAGCTTAAAAAAGATACAAATAGCGTCAAATTTCAGAAAATTCCAGGAATTCATTCCGTATAAATTTTCTCGTGTACATTTTTATCATAAATGCATTCTGGGAGTTAACCTATTAACATTAGGGTAACTTTGTCAAGTGTCAAGTGTCAAGAAAAGTTTTTTTATTATTTTTTTTATTTTAATATTTGATTTTTTTTAACTCGCCTTAAAATTCAAGTAAAATTTCATTACAATGATGGTGATGAATTAAAAAATAATAGTTTTAATGTAATTATTGTATAAAATAATATAAAATCGAGCATAACGGACCTGAGGGAAGCTGCTCACAATGTTCACTGTTGGTAAATTTAAACGATTCCTTTAAAGTTAAATTATTTTTAAATCCTTTGGTCTTGAGGGCATATCTTCTTCTCTTTTTGGCCTTGTTTCTGCGTCTAAAAAAATAGGTCATTACAAGGAATTAACAAAGACACTTAAGAAAACTGAGAGATATTCAGTTAACAATATGTTTTTTTTCTAAGCGTTTGGCTTTTTTCCCCCGTGCAAAACTTTCGTTCATATGTAATTTAAATTAAATGTAAGGAAAAAAGATTGTATTGGTTTATTCTGATTCTGATAAGGTACTTTGATGTATCGATATACTGGCATATGTTCAACAGTTTGGGCAACGATGCGGTTATCCTAACGGCTCCTGGCTGACGTCAGGGCAGCCTTGAAACTCTCGATTGATGTCGAGTCCATGGCGGCATTGTCCAGTTGGTTCAAAGCAACCACTTTTCGTGGGAAGAACGATTGTTTATATTGAACTGTGTTTCACCGAGGCGCAGTGAAGCATTTATCATTGTTCCGGATCTAACTGCCAATGGAGTTTTCAGAGGTGAACTCTGTGTTTATTGAGAGTTTGACTCCGATTAAGTGACCTGGCTTCTGCGGGTTAGATACGTGTTAGCTTGAATGGCCGCCACTAGCCCCGTGACCACTTTATATAGGAATGTTAGAGGGAGCTTTTCTCGTCTGTATTTGAGGGAGGGGATGTAAAATCTATTGAAAAGGTCAGTGACGAAGCCAGGAGATGTGGATTTGTAGTCACTTGCGGTGAAGGGCACAGTGTTATTTTGTACTCGCTCCATCTTGTCCATGTCCTGCTTTAGGTGTGGGTCCCAGATGGTCGCAACATCTTTTGTAGTGGACGGAGGGGTGCAAGAGAGGCATTTCGCTTGCAGGATGTTTAACAGTGGTGCAAATTTCTTCGAATGAAATCAAGTGTGGAGTTGGCTATTTTGAAATTGTGTTTATATGGGATAAACATTTTAGATTATAGAAGAGAAGTCAAAGGTATGGATTATGTGATACTTGTTGGAGAATGGTCTTGTTTACAGAGTACATATAGGTTAATGTTTTATGGTTCTTTGAGATCCTCATTATGTAGCATTTGTTAACGTTAAAATTCATGCCCTTATTGTCCACTCATTTTATAAGGTACTTCGAATCTGCTTG